CCTGCCTGCTTCCCATCCCATGGCCTCTCCAGGCTCATTGCAGCATCCTGCAGCTTCTTCTGAGTTCAAGCCCTAGAGCCACAGAGCAGGACATCACGGCAATTCCCCACAGCAGCTAACGCATTAGCCTCATTTTCCTCTCCCCAGAGGATTAGCAAGGCTGTAATAGCATGAAATAAATTCACTAATGGCAGATTCTCAAGACACTTTGTCTGGAAAACTTGTTTATAACTTACAGGATGCAGCCTGCAAATTTGGCTTTATTATCCAGTGACACGGCTGAAGGGAGCTGCTCCCAAACGGGGCGATTGGATCTGAACAAGATGTGTCCCAGATCGTTAACCAGGCAATGAGGTAATTAAACACCTGGCTGGAAAGGCAGCCTTCACACACATGGTGCAGCTGGAGAAGCACCCCATGGAATCAGGGTGGGAAATCAGAGCTTTTGGGGTGTTTCTTTCATGTCTCCTAAAAAAAGCTGTTTTGCCCAAATGGGAGTGCCCTGGAGGAGGGACCATCCCCTGGAAACACTGGGATAAAGCACCAGGCAACCAGCCCGTGTTGGGATGATGGAAAGTTAAACATGAGGACAGGTTTGCTCTCCCCTGTGCCTCCACACTCAGGTGCAACACCAAGTAACATGCAAAAATACCTGCAGGATGGTGTAGTGCGGGTGGTGGCCACCTGAAACACCCACCCTGGAACAGCTCCCAGGAGTACCTGCTTGGGGGAAAAACCCCTGGCCTCGACACAAAGAGCTGACTGAAGGAGCAGGCTTTCAGAAAAGAGGGGTCCAGGCTGGAGCACCACATTTGGCAAGACCTGAAGATCCTCAGGGAGGAGGATGCACACATCAACTAGGAGGGATCACCTTTCAAGGATCAGCTTTCGGATACCCTCCAAACCACAGAGCCTGTGGAAGGGCTCTGCTTGCACAACAGGGCTATCAGGGAGAGGAGTCAAACCTTTCCTGGGTGACCAAGGCAGAGGACAGAGTAGTGACAGGCCCTGCAAACCACCTCCCAGCCTGTCTGCAAGGACAGAGGGCAACCAGCTGGGACAATTTGAGCCGGTGCAGCTCACAGCCCCAGCCTCCCAGCAATCACACATAAGCCTCCTGCAAAGCTCAATCTTTGAGCTGCTATTGCCTGATTCAGCAGCGAGTGCCTCTGTGTCACAGGCAGGGAACAGGGCAGGATGAATCTGTCTGCCACGGCTAATTCTGCACGGCCAGACCTCACCTTCCCCGACTTAATTTGATGCTCTGAGAAAATTAGACGTTCTCTTGCTTCTGTGGAAAAAGGCAAGCACTGAAGGTAATTCAGAGGCTTTGATGCTGCTCTTTAGTCATTCGGGCACCACAGCCCCGGCATCGCTCCCTGGACTGACCACGGGCTGGGATGAGAGTCACTAATCCTCGTTCACAGCGTGTGAGCCTCGGGCAAAGTGCCGTGTCTGTGCCGTGCATGGACAGCGCCGTCCCCAGCCCGGCAGGGCAGGGACAAGACTATTTCCAGAGCAAGAATTTTAACTTTAATAACCCCAACACCTTGGGTGCCCAGCAGCGGAGGAGTTTGCCAAAGATCCCAGTGTGGCAGTGCCTGGAAATGCCAAATACACGCTCGGACCTGGGTCTGGATTTGAATGCACTGGCAGTGGGGAACATGAAAGCTGCGCCCAGGGCCACCTGCGCACAGCAGACACCTTTGAAAGTGGTTTTAAACCTTCCCCTCTGAGACACTGCTGCTTTTTAGGCCAGAGGTGGGAAGGTTTTCACCCCGGGTTCCTTGCAGCAGCCCGGGGAAGGGCTGGGGACAGACACAGCCGCCTCCCTCCCACACACAGTTTGCACTTGGGCTCAGCTCTAACCCGAACACTGTCATGCGGCGCTCAGCGCTGGGCAAGGCGCTCTCGATCGCTCTGCACTGCACAAAGTAAATCTCCAATGCAAACAAACACAAACAACTGAGGACCCTCGAGGGATTTGGGCTGGATGCTCCGGAGCAAGGATTCCCCTGCTCTGTCCCCACCCAAATCCCACCATGACCCACTTCCCGAAGTGATCAGTGGCAGCAGCAGTCACCCGACCGGCACTTCGGGCGGCTCTGCAGCAGGACAGCGGAGCTCTGAGCCTCTCCTCAGACACAAAGCAGCACAGTCAGGCCCAGGAGACCTCACCCAAAGGGAGAGGGTCAGGGAGGGGCTGCATTTCTCAAACCTGCTCACCCTCGGCACGGTTTGGGTGAGCCCGAGACGCCAGAGCCCTGCACAAACCTCGGCTGTAGGCGCGTCCCTCGGAACCGCTGCGGGATCAGCTCCCGGTGGAGTCACCCCACACCAAACCCTGCGAGTGCCAGGGCTGGAGGGGCGGAGGGGCAGGTCCCAGGAAGAGCAGGGACTCGAGCAGCAACCCCGGTTTCGAGCTGGGCTGAATAGGCAGCTGCAGCCCCATCACTTCCTCTACCCGGAGCAGGGGAGGGAGGGAAGGCAGCGCAGCCGGGAGAGCTGCTGCTGCTCCTGCCCCAGCCCCGGGACAGCTCGGAGCACACAGCTCAGCTCTGCTGAGCGGCTGCTGGGATCACTGTCTGCTTTTTCTACTACATCTTTCCTCTTGGAACTTCCCTTTATGCACTGGGGGCACCCACCACACGTTCCTCCTGCCCGGAGCAGAAAGGGCTTTTTCTTTGGCAGGAAAGCTGACCTCCAGCTGTTCTGGTTTGAAAACAGCAATCCCACCTGAAGAAACAAAGGAGCAGCCGTAGAGAGTCAGTATCACATCAAATCACTCCTCAAGTGAGCAAACCCCACTTACAGGGTCCCTGTGGCAACAGGGCTGTGTGGGAGCACAGACATCTCTCAGCAGGTGTATCTTCTCCCAAGAACGAGTTCTACTCCCACTGCAGTTGGACAGGAACTTCCCACAACTAAACTTAGGGAACTGTAGCCCTGCCAGCTGAACCTACAACCTGCTGCTCAACAGACACAACCACAAAACCCCCAGAGAACTCCTGGCAATGCCCACCTGGGAAGTGGGCTTGGATTAGGCAGCAACAATTCTAACACAATCCTTCAGTTTAAAATACGCCCACCTTGTTTTATAGGAGGCAGACACTGTTATTGTGGAGCTCCCAGGCCAAACTGTTACAATCCCATGTGCCAGTTCTCCCTAATTGCCCATTTTGCCTCATGCTCATCACTTCTGTGTTCCATCAGTCCCTCAAGAACCATCCACTGTCACCAGACCCCTTGGAATGCACAACCAGAAGTGAACACTGTCCAGGACACAGGGCTGTCTCTGAAGGTGGGACCAAGGGCCACAATGTACCTCTCATTTCTATTTTAATAGATGCAATGGTACCAGGCATGGCTAGCTCGGCCTGTAATTAAAATTCCAGTGCTAATCCCAAAGATACTCCATAGGAAAACTTGATTGAAAGCAATCCTCTTGACCATTCTGCTGGAGTTTCCTGTTTTGAGGGCAATCATGTGGCCTAGCTGCCAATTAATTCATGGAAAGAGAGCAAACACTTTAAACAAACAGTGATCAAAGAGCAGCACAATAAGGAAGCAGGTTTGCCAGGAAGGTTTCCAAGCCCCAAAAGCCAGTGCTCTGCACCTTGCCCTGGCTGTTCCAGGCACAACATACTCGTGGCAGCTCCAAGGAAGTCGGTTTGTTCTGCACAGCACATCAGACACTTCACCTGCCTCAGCCTCACCTTCACCATCCCAACTCCACTGCAGGGCTAAAATCCTCAATATTCTTTGAGTCTGGTCTGCCTTATACAGGTGACTTAAATGATTTTTTTTTCCTTTTTTACATTTTGAAGTTTTTTCCTAGTGCCTCCCACATGATTTAAACCACACCACTCCTAACAAATCCCATTCTACTCGCTTTCCATTAACACTACACCAAAACAAACAAGCCAAGTTACCTCTGAGTGGTGTTATCTGAGCCTTGGGGGAGAAGATCCTCCTCCAGAGCTAAGTGGCCATTCTCCAGGGGTTCAGTAGCCCCAGGACCGTGATCCTCTGAGTGCTTGGGAGGCAGAGTGCTCGGTGTTCTCAACACAAACTCCACGCCTCGGAGGTCAGGAATAAAACTTTATTGTTTTCAAATTTCTTATCTGCCTCCAACTAATCAGTTACTTGTCAAAAGATGTTTGGCATAAAGAGGTAAAATTGCTCTTCGGTTTTTGTAACAGTAACGATCTAGAAAGTGGCTGCAGTACAAGTTTTCCTGGAGTCAATCCAGGCACCACACGGATCCGTGGTAGGAAAGCAGGAGTTTGGTGTGCAAACCAAACGGGAGCTCTCAGTGATCTGATACAAAAGTTGAGAGGGAAAGAGCAGCTCAGGTGGATTTACACAGGAGGAGATACCCTGAAACAGAGCAGGTGATGCCTGTGCTGGCTATTCCCTGGCCTTTCCTTGCCTAAAAGGAAATAGGCTTTAGAGGGACATCTGTCATTCAAGACCATGTTTTCTAGAAATTGCAATCTGATGAAAAAAGTCCTTTATGTTTCTTTTAGCTCCACTTTCCCTTTCTCCTGTAAAATCCCCCTGGCATCCAGACACAAAAGGAATTAGCTATAATACCAGAAATTTCCATTTTGTTTCCATGTTGCAAAAATTAAAACACAAACAAGAAGTTCCTCCTCCTCCTCGTCTTACCTCTCTCTGAGCACGGAGTCCTTCTGTACTTTGAGAACTCACAAATCAAATCAACTTGGAACAGAAAAGGCAAACATTTGTGGGAAATAATAATGGGGGCAAAAATAATGGGAATTGTTAATTACCCCCATTCATCTCACAAGCACCTTGCATAGAAAATTTCTATGGAAAAATTCGACCATTTAAAACAGTTCTTCTGTTTCCGACCCCAATACCTAAAAATGGAGAAACAACACAAAGTTCAGACAACTGAGTGCAGGAGTTCAGGCAGAACAAGCTGCTACCTCACCTTCCAGCCACATGCTGAGTGAAAACCCACACAGTGCTGGTGGAAACTTCCAAATACTTTATTTAGGAACAGTTCTGCCCATGTGCTGTGGGGTTTTTTCCTGTTTAAGTCATCGCAATTACGAAATTATCTGCATTTTCAAAGTGCCTGTCACGGTGGCACCTGGGTGCTTTATAAAAAAAGCTGTCTGGCACGACAGAGATGATTTATCACTCACAAACCTCCTGGTCTCCTGTTCCTTATCCCTCATTTCAGGTGTAGCTACTGACCAAGGATGAAGAACAAAGCAACAAATGAACTCCAGAAAAAGATCATCTTGTTTTCAGGCAAGGTTTAGATCAGAGACAAAATGAACAATGAGAGACCCAACTTCCCATGAAGAGCAAGTAGCTATTTCCAAAGCCACCCATGAAGCTAGTTTCCCAGGAAAATCCTTGTAGGAATAGGTTCTATACTGTATTCAGGTATTTAACAAAAGGTGTGCATGAATAAAGAAGGATACTATTGGCCCAGAGTACAAATTCACCCACCACAGCTGGGGTAACCATTAACATTTCTTATCTGCCATCCTTATCAATAAGGAAAGAGGCTCTATTTTATCAGTTCTGTTACATTTTTAAAAAATACAGAGACTTCTGGGATTCAAAAGCGAAAGAGAAGTAGCCCCCTTGGCTACTGTTCCACAGCCATCATGTGGGAGCCTCACCTTGCTGGTTTAGTTCTCATGTACTTTTACCTCTGTTTCCCCATCACACCCCAATTTCTAGACCAAAATACCAAATTATAGTGTCAAATAATGGGGCAGAGGGAAGAGTCAAATTATACCTATGCCCTGGTCCTTGCTAAGTAGATGTGTACTGGCCCTGAACAGGCCACTGGTCACAGAACTTCTCCAACCAAAATGGAATTTCTCTGTGCTCCAGATTATTTTCAGCTATTTATAGTGTGTGTTTGTTTCTGAATAATTGCTTGTCTTTAATACACTGGGAGAGAATGTGAGTGCACAGACATACACACAGGACACAGGAGAGAAGGTGGTAAAACTTCCCTCTGTTGGTTTCAGGTGCAGGTATTGGTGTCCTAGAACCTCTTGGAGCTTTTCCTTCAATACAGAATAAAACCTCTGTTTCTCTGGGGGTCCTGGTTAACTTTTGAATCCAAAAATGCCCTTTATATATCCTGTGAGGCCACTCTTGGCCTTCTGCTCCACCTTGTCCTCCAGAGGTGGGAAAGCAACATGATTAAGGGCCAGGTCAAAGAACAAGGGTTTGCATGGAATGGGCTGGAATCCTGGTGGGAAGTGCACGAGGTTGACTTGCTTGCTGACAAGAGAAGGATCCAGGCAGAAAGTCTCAAACCGTTCTGAGAGTGGCTGAAAGAGAAGGAGGCAGAAACAAATTAGACACATCAAAGCTGATGGGGTCAAACAAGCAAAGAGGACTGAGCAGCAACTGAGACAGAAGAAGCCAAAGTTCCCTTGTGTGGCATCTTGGGCCCTGTCAAAGATCTCTGGAAAACCTTCCCACGTGCAGAGAGAAAGCTAAATAAAGAAAAAGGCCACCCTAGAAGCTGCAAGCAGCTGCCCAGCTCCTGGCCAAGGAACTCCACTGTGCCAGGGACCTTCTGCACATGCAGAAGGAAAACAAGCTTAATAAAATCTCCCAAATAAACCAGTCACAACCAAATCCCGACCAGTGTGACATTTCTTGAGTTGTGAGAGTCACTCAGGTGAACAGGTTAAAAGTGATGTTTTTTAAGAGCACCACTGGAATCTGCCTGAGCTCTCAGCTCTTACCTTGCCATCCTTGACCTGAGATGGAGACTCAGACTCATGAGGATCATTTGCATCTGCAAAATTGAAGAAGAAGTGGTAAGAATAACAGGCTTGACCCCAGTGTAAAGTAGGATTGTCTCAGGAACCAGCTGCCTCTAAGCTCAGCTATGATCCTTGCTCTCTGCAAGACTATTTTCAGTAGAATCGACTTGCTTTCTAGACTAAGAGGAGCACAAACACTCAGCTATGGCCCACATAGCTCTGCAGTTGTGGAGAGCTGCTCCTTCACATTGTCATGGGAATTTCCAAAGCACAAAGCAGCAGATGATGAGAACAGCCCCAGGGGGGTCTGTTAAAGCAACATTAAAGCAATAAGAGACCAGGCAATCCATTCCTTATCCTGGGTTTCCAGCAGCAGGTACAGCAAAAACAGCGGCCCAAGAAATCACAGAGTTCACTCAGTTCCCAAAAGTTCCACTGACCAGACTGACACTGACAAAGGGCAGAACATCACTGCTCTCCCCAGCAGTTCTCCCACCCAGGCAAAACTGGCATGTGTAAGGACATTCTGTGTGCAGCAAAAAAAAAAAAAATTAAACACTAAACTGTTCTGTGCAGGTTTCTAAAAAGGCCCATCCCCATGAAGGGTTTTCACATCCCTGGGCAGGGAGCAAGATGCCAAGTGTGCAGTCACTGCCTGCCTGCATTACACACAGCTAGAGGCAGCTAGAACTGGGGGGGGGAATTAGTTTTCCAGAGCCTGCATGAATCAGAGTGAAGTGGAAAAACATTTGGAACTTCAGAAATTAAATAAAATGAAAATAAAAGGAATGAAATAGCTGCAGGGGCATTATTTAAGACACAGTAGAGCAGAGCTGTAGTATAGTCTGTAGTATATTACTCACCTAATATAGCTGCTGCTTGCAAGGAGTATTTCTCTGCATTAACTTGAGTGATCAGATCCTGAACATCAGGCAGCTCCTAGGGCATTAAAGAAAATCATTTAAAAGCCTGAAATGTGCCAGTCTAAGAGTCAGAGCAAAGGGAAAACCTGACAAAGAACTAACTCCTACTGCTGATAAGCTTTCCCAGAAGGTGAAAAGCTATAGTGTCATGCTTCAGGCACTACAGAAGTTGTATAGGAAAAAATGCACAGGTGAGGAAAAGAGGCAAATTGTTGTGGAGTTGTTACAGGAAGTCTGCCTCTCCTCCAAGGTGAGGGCCTGTTGAAGAGTTCCCACATCACTAGAAAGTCTCTGCTATAATGAGTATTACTCCTCTCCCTACTTAAAGATCAGTCTTGAATTGTAATGGCCTGGGCACCTAATTAACAATAAATACTGGGACAGAGCTTCTTCATAAACTTCAGCTCCCTTCTACACACAGGACTGGGTTCCTACCTTCAAGCTGTTCCTATGAGCTCCAGCTCCTGACTGAACTTCCCAGGCGTATTTCAGCACCCGTTCATATAACACGAGAGCTTCACTCCACTTCTTTACCAGGACGTAGGACTGGGCAATGAAGAAACACCTGCAGCAGTAAAGAGTGGATTCCTGACATGTTTGTTATCCACACCTTTTGCCAACTCAAAGGACTGGTAACAGGGAATATCCTTAGAGTAGCACTGGCCGGTTTCCCCTCAGCATCCAGTCTCCATTTCACAAAAGGGCAGAGGGAACTGCATCAAAGGCCTGTACAGCACACAGAGCTTTGGAGTTACAACCTTTGAGGATGTCATGTGTGCTAAAGAAAACCTGGCTGTTTCTCAGTCACCTGTAAGCTTTGTACACGAGTGTCTTCAATCCAATCTCTTTTTGGAAGTTCTTGTCCTCCTCTAGGCCTGGAAGTTGCGTCAGTTCCACGAGGTTCTGTGCAAAGGAGAGTCAGAATAACAAATGCAGGCACTGTTTTCCTCTGGAATCTGCTGCAGTAGGAGAAAGCTGCCCCTTCTGACAAGTCAACAGTACACTCCCATGGAAATACTTTCCATCCAGTTTTCTAATTATCAGTTTTCTAACCTTGTGAAGGACTCTCATTGAAACTTGTGCAAGTTGCCCTCAGGACAGATTTCCTGACACAAACAGGAATTAGGACAAAGACTCCTTAGATTTCACATGAACTAATTCTTTCATAAGGCATTTCCCTTTCCCATTCACAACTGCTTCAGCCACAGGCTCCCACAGTTAATAGAAAAATGATGGGAGAAACTGAAAAACTGCTTATGAAGAACAAGTATTTTTAGCTGCTACTTTCCCTGGCCAGCAGAAATTAAGGCAGCTCTGAGGGTGCTGCATAAAAGAGTCAGAAAGACTATTTTAAAACTGTTTTAAAGTGCACAACCAAGGACACCCGTTCCAGCAGCACGTTCTGCTCACAGTTAGAAGGGTTTTTTTGTGTTTCATGTAAATGTTGAACATCTCCAAGGTATCTGCAGGTACTTCAGACTTCACAGGCAGTTCAACTGCACTGCTGTCTATTCCCCATTAGGTTTTTGTGCCAAAGGACAAAGAATTACCTGCAGAATGATGTCGTAGAGGCGGATGAGGTCCTGTGGCCGGGGCGTGCGCTTGCCGTCCTCGTCCGAGCGCTGCTGCTGCAGCAGGGCCTTCTGCAGGGACTTGGCCATGCTCTCGTTGCGCTTGATGGCCGTGGAGAGCTTGATGTAGGTCAGGTAACTACCAAGAAAACAGAGAAAACACCATCAGAGACTTACTCAAACGTTACTCTTTGTTCCGAAAAACGCCTTCCTCCCCCAGTCTGAGCTGGTACTAGTGGGGGAAAAACACAGGGAAGGTCAACTTGAGAGTCTTGAGGGAAATGTTTTCGAAGCTGCACGGATCAGATCCTTATCTGTACAGTCATCCTTCGAGATGAGAGAGGCCCAGAACAAAATCCCCATAAAACAAAAATCAAACAAAAGTAAAATCCTGACATAAGAACACGACTGCTTCACGCCAGCACACAGCAACGTTTGCTTTTACCTGTGTAAGTACTGGATGTTGGACACCTTCCCAGAATCATTTTCCAGAGAGTGCTCTCGCTGTTTCTGTGGACATTGGAGACAAAACACTGCATGATTTACTTAAAACTGGCAGACAAGGGAAGAAAAATACAGAAGCAACTCAAGGTTTGGGTAAACCATAGAAGCTGTAACAGACTTTCAGGCAAAAGAGAGAAGGCTTCTACACTGCTGCTTCCTCAGTTCAGTTCTGAAGAGAATAAGTTCAAAGGTAACTCTTATGCAGCTCTTTATTAAAGAAACCTCAGCCCTTTTTTACTGTTAAGCAAGTTTAACACTAACAAATCAGCCCCAAAGAAATACTGTGTTGCTGGAAACAGAAGCTGATGTTTGCTGCTTACCTGGTCTGGTTTCAATTCTTCCCGGACTGCCTGAATGGCATCTCTGCACTCACTGAGCAAAGACTCAAACAAACGCTCCTTTGTCTCCTCATTTTCTGCCTGAGAGCAAAGGAGATTCAAGACAGCTTAGAAATTAGAAATTTTTGTATGATGCACCAATTAACTGGGGAGAGTAAACAAAGCTTTTCCCAAATTATGACTTTAACATTCATGGGTATTTAGAACCCCAACCTGTGCCTGTCTGCAACACATTCCTGGGAGCAAACTACCAGAAACCATGGGGAATGTGGTCAGTGCTGAGGATTCAGCAGCACTGAAGGCCTGGCACACACAGCTCATGGCCTCATCCCTGCACCAGCTACCTTCCTTCCCAGCAACTCCCTTCCCTTCCTGGATGGCACCTGCACTGCTCCCAGAGCAGCTGAGGCTGGACTGCACTGTGGGAAAGGCCCAGCAACTGAAGAGCTGAGCAGCACCAAACTGGCAAACTACCAATGTAGACAGCTCTTGTTATGCTGATTTAATTTTTCTCATGTGGTAAGAACATGTAGATGATTATCTTTTCTCCACTCCCACTCTAGCAATGCTCACTGTGGCAACAACTTGCTTGTTTGACGCATTTTTTACAGTAACCCTGTATTTTAGCAGCAGGAATGACCAAGTGCTTTTCTGCTGTCGCCACAGGTTTTGTCAAAAAAGTGAAGCAGCTTTTGGCCTTCTGCCCCAACACCAGAACTTGAAAACAACTTTAAAAAAACAAGTTGAAGCCTGATCTCTGCCTAATTTACTGGCATATCATGTACCTAATTAAACAAGCTCCCAAACTCAACTTCATTTGGTAACCAGGTGGGGACTGCAAGACTTACTGATACAAAACTGCCCAAAAACAAACTTCAACCTTAGCAAATGAAGGAAGATCAAAGAGCACCAGCACTGTGTTATACCGCTTCCAAGTAACAGCATAAAATGAGCAACAAATTTGTTGCAACAAATTTGCAATTGTCCAAATGAATAAAAAACTGTCTAAAAACAGGCTCACTTGTTTATCTTCCACAGAGCTCTACAGTCTCTGCCTCTCCACTTCCCACATTTGCAAACCCAATAAGGAATGTTATTTTTACTCCCTCACAAACCCTCGGGTATCCTGAGATGAAGGCGGGTTTTTTGGGTTTGGTTTTTTTTTGCTTTTAATTTAAGATTTGCTGCAAGAATTTTTTTAAGGTGGGACTGACTCCTGAGAATAACCAGAGACGAGTCTGACTGCATTCTCAACCTCACCCAGAGCAGCACAGCAATTTCACTGTACGCACAAAAATGAAAACACACGGCCAGATCATCAGTCAGGCACAAACAGGGAAAGGGCTGGGCCCTGCCATGAAACAAAGGGTTTCCTTTCGAAGCAAAAACTCCTTGAGCTGATGATTCTATGCATAAATGCACATATGTTCTGATTTGGGAGAGATCAGATCACAAAACTGAGATACAAGTGCTACAGCTGGTGATTCAAGTGCCCTGACAGAACAGCACAGGTTCATCTTAAAGGGCATCACGGGAACTGATGCCACTGAACCCACTTCCAGAAGTGCTCAATCCTCCTTTTAAATTTGTTCTAAACCACTGTGTAACACCTCTGACAGTTATTTTTTGCTGCAGTCCAGAGATGAGCACAGAATCCTTGAGGCAATGCCATGTAGGAGCACACTTCTGTCATGCTGCCCTGCAGCCTTCTCACTTCTACCTGGTTACAGCCAATGGGCCCTCAAAGTCAAACCTTCAAACCCACAAAAGGGCTGCCATAAGCAATTTTAAACTTCAATTTGTATTTCAGTTTGGCTTATTTGTTCTGTTTCTCCCATTACCAATAGGATATTGAAGGCAACGGTGTAATTGTGCTGAGAAAAACTTCATTTTTATCCACAACAGATTGGTTTTACTTCTAATTAAACCCTGCAGAGCACTGATGTTATGTCAGGGTTTTAACTCAGTCTGCTCAGATGAGCAGAAAGGTGCCAAAGATCCCAGGAACCACAATGCATTCAGCTGAAGATGGACTGCCTGTCACAACTACAGAACTGCTTCCAAGTTTTAGCCCTCTGGAAATATAAACAGTGCTGCTGCATGCTCAGCTCTCACCAGAACTACCTGTGATTCTGAACCACAAAACTCCCCTGTTTAGTCACAGCTCCCAAGGAAAACAAAGTAAGATGAAAACCAGTTCAGCCCACTGTTCTGCCACTGCTTTAGAGGGCAACTACACTGAAAAAGCCCAGCTGTCAGCCTGGCAGGATGGAAATTAAAGGAAGGAACTCTGAGCTGCACTTCCACCTGCTGGCCATGTGTATGTGCTTCCTAAAAACAAACACATTCAGCACCCTTCGATTCATAATATTTTGACAAGAGTGGGTAACACTCATGTTTCCTACCCAGACACATCCTGTTTATCCTACTCACACTCTCCTTAACACTATCCCCTGTTCCTGCCTTATCCCTTTGTAGGGTTTTCATTTTACCATTTTTATTTATCATCATTATTCTCCTGGTGACAAAAGGTTTTTTTATGCTGCAACAAGCCCATCTTTAGTTGTAACAGTTGTTACTGAAGACCCTTTCACTGCCTTTTCAAACTGCAAGTGGGTATGCAGCCACTGAAAAGCAGGATACACCATCTGGTCACCATTTCCAAGGAAAAAGCCACATGTGAAAAACCTGACTACAATATTAAAGACCTGCATAGTATGTGCCACTACAAGTTCCAGAGAGCTGGACTTCAATGATCCTTGTCTAACTCAGGGTATTCTATGATTCTGTGAAGTGTTTCAGAATCACTGTATGTGAGATTGATTTATATCCTCACATTTATTAATCCTCTTCCTGCTTTTGAGGATTTCCATAAGTCAGTAAGAGAATGGAATAAAACTCATAGCACCTGCTTTACCTGGCAAATTGCTTTCTGTTGCTGAAAATAATGTGTTTAGTATGTATCCTTTTTCTTTCAGCTGCCCTGAAATTGGAGCATTTGAGCAAGATGCTTAAAGAAATTAAAACAGTAATTAAAAACCAGTTGCTCTTAAAAATGTAACCTTCACTCCCAAGTGACAGACAAATAATGGCCATCATCCTGCTGCTGAAAGGCAGCACACTGTTTCAAAGAGCAGGAATACTCAGAACAGATCTCCCAGACTAATACTTAGCACACTGTGAGAGCTATTCCAAATGACACTTCAGCTTTGGGTTACAGTCAGTATTCCCACTTTTACTCTTAGCCTTCCAACCCCAACCCTGAAAAAAATAAGATTATTCAAAAGCTTTTAGTCCAGGTATCAGGCACTGCTCTGAAGGAAAGAGGATGGTCAGAAGGCCAGTGCTGGGTTACCTGAGCAATCGCTGCCTCGTTGTCAGCCAGGCCCAGCAGGAAGATCCTCACTTTGTCTATTTTCACTGGAACAGTTCTCCCTCTCCACTCCACCTCGCTCATCGTGGCTGCCTGCTTTGCTCGAGTCTGGGTGATCAGAGCCTGCACAGAACAGACTCACATCATGAGCTTGAACTTAAAGGGATCCAGGACTTCTTAAATTCACATTACATTTAACTATTTTGAAATCAAAGGGTGTTTTGGCTTCCCACAGAGCCCAGGCTTGCTTGCTCGCTTCTGTTATATTCTGGCTCTTGAATGGTTTGCTGCAGCAATATTCATGCTCAACAGATTCTCAATGAATGTTTCAAGTTGAAGTGTGCAAATAAGTTACCTCCAGTTTTTCTGCAAGAAGACCTTCAGTGCCACCAGACCTCAGTCTCATCTGCATCAACTCATTCATGGCAGATTGGTCACCTGAGAGAATCCACAAATCCAGATCACATTTACATTCCACTTCAAAAACTATTTTCATACACAACAGCTAATCAATAGATTTTATACTGGCAGTCTGGGGACAAAGGAGAGAAACTTGCAATTTCATTCTGACTTCATAGGTAAACCACCACAAACTGTTATTTTGTCTTTCTACACAAAACCACAGGTGCTGTTGCAAAATGAGTCTATTTCTCCACTGCTGAACTGTCCCAGAAGGTGTTCAGAATTTGCCCGAAATATTACAGCTTTGCTGCAATGTCACTTAGAGTAGTATTTAACTAAATCAACATCCCTTCCATGTGAGCAAGCCTTGCTCTTTGCTGGAGATCAGGCACCCCCTTCCCTTACCAATGTTATAGGCACAGTAGCGGATGTTGGGCGAGATCTCTTCCACACGCTGGTTATACAGCACAGCTTGTTCTTCTGTGAAAGCATTGGCCAGTTTTTCATAAATGGTCCTACAGCAAAGAACAAATATTAACGCTGCAGGATGTGGTGCCCTTTGTGGGTGTTATCCCAAGGGAGGAGTTTGTGTCTCTGCTCTGGAGGATGCTGTTTCTTCATAGCACCTCCTGGTTAAGTGCACAGTTAACTAAACAACTCAGAGTTGCTGTACCTACTGTACATACACTTAGCCCACTGGTTAAATGCTATTTACTAAACGAAGCTGGTGAAGTGGGGGAACTCACTTGCATTTGTTGAAAGCCTCCATTGCTGCCTTCCACTCCTGGTGCTCGAAGCGAAGCATCCCAGTGAGGTAAGCCATGTACGCCTGCAGACAGAGCAGGGGCAAGGGAATTCACCCAAGATCCACGGCCTGATTACTACAACCTTTAATACAAAGCTGCTGCGACACCTGCAGTGAGTGACTGAGCCCTGCCCTTTTTGTTTGGTCTTCCCACAGAAGGCAACTGATCTGGATGACAGGCTACCACCTACCTACCTTTTCTTCTTTAACTGAGACATTTCTAAGTTTCAGTTTTCTAAGTTTTTTCACTGCTACATTTCTAAGGAATCAAAGAATCATGGAATGGAATCACAGAATTGATTGCTGGAAGAGACCCTAAAGATCATCTAGCTCCAACCCCCCTGCCATGGACAGGGACACCTTCCACTAGACAGGGCTGCTCAGAGATTAAAGCAAAGATATTTCTTGCTTGTTATGCAGTCAACACGGCCCACTGATGCTACAAAACATTTTTTTTCCAGCAATATGCTATAAAATGGCAGTTTAAGTAACTGAGCATGGTACTAAATCCCCTTGTTCAAAGAGACCGGTGTCACAACACAGTTGCTTTCTAATTTCCAGGAATTAGAAGCTCCAGATCTTGTGTTCTAGGTGGTTATCTCAGGGCATTTAATAAAGATAACTCAACAGATAAGCACAGTTTCTTAGGCTGTGTTGCATCACCTTAGCCTCCCTCAACCATTTTTACTTTTTTTGAGTATCCATTGCTAACAGTCCTTATCTCATCACCCCAAATCCAAAGGTTGCTGTAAAACAAGATCAAAGTACCAGTGATTACCTGTGCTTCCAGCTTTGTCTTGGCATCCACCCTGTTGCTCTCACAGAGCCTCTCCAGCTCCTCGGCGTGTTTCACAGCTTTGCGCAGCCGCGACAGCAGGTGGAAGCGTTTGCGGGGCTCCGTGTTGGCCTCCTGCTTCAGCTGCATGGCATAGCTCCAGGCCCTCTCTGCATCCATCAGGATCAACAGCAAATACCTGCAGGGCACAGAGGGATTAATGAGGAAATAATGGCATCCAAACGAGAATTACATCACCATCAGTTCTTCGCCACGGGATCTGCAAAGCTTGGTAACGGAAGTTCAGCTTGATCGTGTTTCGCGCTTGATCAGCTTGAATGTTTCTTAACATTCTAAGCACACAAAGTCATATCATTCCTAACTGCTTTCTGCTGTGTTTCTCACTCAGAAATGCAATTATCCCACTGAGGAAGAGAATTTGCAACTATTCTATAGCTCCACAGACATTGAAAAGACAAAGAATTTATCATTTTGGGTCGTTCTTCAAAGGGGTTCAGTATGTTCTTAACAACTCAGGTGAACGCAGCACAACGTGTTCTTTTCCCACAGAAAAAGAGGAGACAGCAGATGTTTCAAGTGTTCCTTTTCATTCCTGACATAAAAAGATGGGAAATGAGCCCAAAATCCTGGCTTTTATCTTTTATTAATATCAACAACACACACCTCTGAAAAGAAACGTTTCTGAGCATATTGTACAGAATTCTTCCACCACATCCACATGAAAAGAAATTATTGAAGTGAAACTCTTCACTAATAACCTGAGTATTCAATTCCATTCTGTACCTGTTGTCTGAGAGAATCTCCTCAGTTACTTTCTTCCCAGTGAACTTGTGCCTGTTGCCCATCTTGAAGTTGAGAGTTTTTCGGAGCCTCCGTAGCCTGCGGGAGCAATAACCCCTAAAAAAAAAAAAAAAGACAACCACAGTCAGTTTGGCCAAAGAACAACTTTCCTTCTGCTTACTGCTCTATCCAAACAGGGAAAAAAGGACTAAAGGCTGTGCCAGGCCATGCTTAACAACTAGGAACTCCATGTCTGACATATGGTAAGAGGTAGCTCAGACACTGCCTGTAAAACAGCAGTTAATAGAAAATAAGAAAGGTAAGAAGACATATAATAATCCCTGATCTTGAAAAACCAGAATGATGTTCTCATTACAGATTGGTTTATGCGTGTTTATTGAATACTGACATCACACAGGTGTTAACAAACAAGCTCTTCAGGGCAATGGAGAGAAAAAAGAGCCTGTGTGAACCCTCCTAAATGGCACAGCCACAGAATGTTGCAGCGAACAGAGACCAGCATATATCGACCAGCTCACATGGAACAACCAGCCAGGGGTATTTACTTGGCAGATGGGTTTTGTTGCCTGTTACAAGGGCTTTAGTTTTTAAATTAAGAGAAGCCAAGCCACAGGAGGAAATCCCAGTACTAACCTGTACCTCTGGAAGTCCCCATGTCTCAAACCGTGCTGCTGCTGTGACTCCTTCACGATCTGCAGGACTGCGACTCATGTTAAGGCACATGGACAGCACAGTTTGTCACCAGCCCCTTGTTCCACCCCAAAATAATGGAAGGGAACTCTATAGGTCCCGTTAAACAAATGTGCTGTGAACAGAGGGGCACCCCAAAAGCTCCTAAAAACACACAGCTGAGGGAACTGATGGTTCTAAAGCACCTCATGACTCCGCTGCTCACTTCAGAGCTCACGAACACCAGCAAGGCCAGGACTCAGACAAACCTCAAGCTCCTTCTCCTACAGACATCCACGGGAGTGTTGCTTCACTGGAGCTCATTTTGGGATAAGCTGTGCCAACAGACACATCCAGGCTCATACAACTGACTGCCTCAGCCTGGCTACACAGCCTCCCCAGCCATGCTTGTGATATGGTCTTGTTGGCAAAACTGAGGGAGAGGGAAGCTTTCCTGCCCTTAAACCTTCCATCTCCCAAAAGAACACAAACACCCTGAACAGAATCACTGCTGACTTCCCCACACAGCTTCCACAAACAAACAGCTTTCTGAACACAGAACCTCCTCAAAAGAACTCAAGGGCTGATTTTCTGCTCAGTTTTTCACCATATTTCTAGTCTTGCTGCACAACTGTAACAAACATCTGTGACAGAATGCACTGCCCTGTGACCTGGGATACCATCACTCCATCATTCCCATCCAGTCTCTGCACTCTTCAGTGTATTTGCCAATTTCTGTGCATCCTGTAGTTCTTTTATTGCCTAACTGATGCTACCAAGTAAATAATACACCATATTGTGGTAAATCTGCTGATGCTTTTCACACCATTTACAAAGCAGATTATTTTGTGAAATACAATCTCCACCACAAACAGGAAATCTCTGTGCTATATATATTTATGTCCTAAAATTTCCCTTTTAAGCTTTATCAAGAAGCGTTTAAAAAACACCCAAAACCCAAACCCAGCCTGTACAACAACCCCTTGAAAAGAAACACTAATACGATACCTAAAGAAACCACCAAACATTTAAAGTTTAAAATGTCAATGTCTATCAAAATGTTTTCTTGTAACTACACCTAAAATTAAGTCTCTCAAGTATTAAGAACCTGCACAAATAGTTACTACACTGAGTTATTTCGTATTTGTGGAACGAACAATTCAAACTGTAATGTCTCAACACAGCCCTCCTCATCCTTCCTGTCTACCCAAGATTTTTTTTAGACTTTCTTTTATCCTGTGCAGTTACTTCCTGAATTCATACTCCCTGTATTATGTACTTTTTCATTGATTTAGATATTCCCAACATTAGCAGGGCAATTGCCATGTCTGCATCTTACTCCACAGTTATGGACTGCACACCACTTGCCATATGCCACGTGGAAAGCTACAACCTCATTTCACCTGGGTTTTCCTCTGACCCAGAAGATAAATACACCCCAGCTCTCCCACAGCTGTGCAGCTGGACTAGTTTCACATCAAAGTTTCACAAAACCTCCACGAGCTTTACAGGCCACATCAGAATTTGGAAGCACTAAACCCGCCAAGAGGCGGTTTGCTACCTCAGCGCACCTGTTAAGATTTTTTTTATCCATTACTGCTTCAAGCTTTAATATTACAACCAGCAGCTCAGAAGTGACCTGCTCCTATCTAAAGCACACAACCCAGCACAGAGCTCCGCCGTGGGGGCTGGCTCCAGCTGCCACGCGGTTCGGAAGGAGAAGCCGCACAGGCAGAGCACAAATCCACACCTCAGGAATGCCGGGCTGGGCCGTTTTACACAAACCAACCCCTCACGCCCGGCCGGGCCAGCACCGCACGGGGCCCGGCCTGGCCAGCACCGCACGGGGCCCGACCCGGGGAGTCCCCGCTGCCCCCCGTCCCTCCCCGCGGGGCCGCGTCCTCCGGGCCCCGCGATCCCCGCGCTGCCGCCACGTCCCCCCGCCGCCCACGGGGCCGGGCCTGCCACGCTCCCCCCCGCCCTCCGCCGCGACGCAGGATGCTCTCCAAGCCCAGGCTGTCGCCGAGGCCACCGGGCTGCGGCGCGGCGGGCCGCTCGTTCTCCTTGTTGTCTTTGCCGTCCCTGCCGTCCCGGTTCTCCTCCGCCCCGGCCCCGCGGCCGCCACCGCCGCCCTGACGCTCCGCCGCCATCTTGCGCCAGCGCCGCGGTGCATCACGGGCCGGGCAGCGGCGCGAGGGGCCGGCGCGGAGGCTGCCGGGAACGGGGAGGACCGGCCGGGGGGATCCCGGGAGGGGATCAGGGGGGTTCGGGGACACTCTGGGCGCTGGGGCTCACCCTGCGTTTGGTACATCCACCCTCGGCCCTCCTGCCCTTGTCCCGCTCAGTCACACCCAGTCTGAGCCCCCCAGCCCAGTCAGACTCCTCTGCCCCAGGGTCACTCCCACCAGGGCTGACCCCAAATCAGCCCCCAGGGTCACATCCTTAACCCTGTTCCACTCACACACCCTGGTACTGACCCCCAAATCAGCCCCCAGGGTCCCATCCTTAACCCTGTCCCACTCACACACCCTGGTACTGACCCGCAAACTGGCCCCCAGGGTCACCCCCCCAACCCTGTCCCACTCACCCACACCAGGGCTGACCCCCAAATCAGCCCCCAGGGTCACATCCTTAATCCTGTCCCACTCACACACCATAGCACTGCCCCCCAAACTGGCCCCCAGGGTCACCCCCAAACCCTGTCTCTGACACCCACCCCAGGGCTGACCCCCAAATTGGCCCCCAGGGTCACCCCCCAACCCTGTCCCACCCACCCCAAAGAAGATCCACATCAGCCCCAAAAATCTCCCCCCTCCCACTGTCTTTGCCCCCCTTGGGCTGTGTACCTGGTTAAAGAGACCCTGTGTCCCTACTTCAAAGCCCCAAACACACACAAATCCAGCGGCACTTCCCTGGAGCTATTTAAAGGTATCAAAATGGATTTATGCCTGCTACCTGGGAGAAGCGCTTAAAACCAGGTCCTCTTGCACATGGGTTTTAAATATTTGAACCAAGCTTGGAGATACCTCATTAGGGACACAACTCAAACTGTTTTGAATACCTGATCCTAAATATTTACACAAATATAGTGGTTATAATAGTGAGTGGTACAAGCTGCTCCCAGAGCTGCTCCCACCAGGCCCAGGCCTATCTTTGCCAGCCTGGGCTCTGCCTGCCTGGCTGCTCTTTGCTGCTGCCACACTACAGCGAGCAGCAATTTTGGCTCTTCTCCACTTCCAGGAGTTCGGCTGTGATCTCTTATTCCTGCTTCCAAAGTTCTCCTTTCTTCTCATGGACAGGAAACTCAAAGGGAAAAAATAAAACAAAAAATCAACCGTGTCCTCAAGCTGCAGCTTTCTGTGGCAAATCTCTTAAACTGTGTCTGTCTGCTCCAGGTTCCCAACACATCTCATCTCCCAGGAATCCATTCCCTCTCTAAACCAAACTGTGCTCCAGGATGATGCTGAACTAAGCAGACATGGCAATTAAAGCCTGTTTTATGAACAACTGCTCCTCTCTGCGGTTCAGACAGACTGATAAAGGCAGCACCCACCTTCAGGTGCCCCACATGCATGTCACCCCCCAAGGGACCCACTCCAATGCCAGAGCAGCCATCAGGTGTGGCACAGGCACGTCTCTTCCCCATACACTGACACAAAACTTTGCTGCTCCTCTGGAGTCTGTAAATGGAAGGATAAAGCTGCCAACCACTGGCTCGATGTGTAGATTCCTGCTGCAGGGCAGAGGGAGAGGAGGACCACACAAACCTGCAGCACTGTGTCGAGCAGAGCCTTGGTGAGAGCCTTGAAGCGGGGCTGAGCTGCCTTTGGTGTGGCAGGGATAAATCCAGTGAGGGTTACCAGCTCCAAACACTCACACCATGCACAGACCCTCCCAGTGCTGCCTGCCCCTGCAGTCTGGGAGGGCTGGTAGCCTTATAATGTGACTTTTCCTTTTGGGGATTTGGAGGCCAGATCCCCATCCTGCTGCACCCCTGCCCAAATAACCCATCTGTGTCTCAGGCCAAGAACTTATTTTGCAGTTTTTGGATGAGGGATTCTGCTACTAATCTTTGTGTACAGCGCTGCAGGCTGTGAGCTGTGCTGGTGTTCAGGAAGAAACTGAGTGTTTTCCTTTGTTATTTTTTTTTTAATAATCTCACCCTGCAGCACAAGGGTGGACCTGGCCTATCTGAGAGCTGACCACAGCTCAAGGGAGACCAAAGACACCACCAGTGTCATCACTCAAATACCAGTGCCCTGCAATGGGTACTTGAGGACACAGGGCAGATCCCATGGGGTGAAACCTCCCTGGAACTGGGGCAATTTCCCAAGGGTAAAAACTCCCTGGGGCTGGGCTTTCCCCACGAGCTGGCCATGCAACCTCCATGGTCATGGCTGGGGATGTGGCTCAGCCCTTGTTGAGGCCAGGAGTGATTCCCTGAGGGGAATGTGGCCAGTCTGGGAACAGGAGAGGGAGGCAGAGCTACAGTCTGTGTCTTAGCACCTCCTTGAACCCTGTGGGATGGCCAGTTCTCCCCTGTTCTGCTCCTAATTGCCTGCAAGATAATGTCAGGAGCATCTCATCCTCACACCGAAGGGGTCTATCCACCTTCCCATATACCTTGTCCAAACAGGAGCTGACTTTGTGGGGCTTCTTGTGGGCTGCTGAGGGTGAAAAGGGCTCTGTAGCCTATACTGGCAATGTCACAGGGCTGTGAGTGTCCCCAGAGCTCCCAGCACTGCCAGCAGGCTCAGCTCTGAACGTCCGTGAACTGGGAAGCTGTGGAGTGGGTCAGATACAGGAGTAATTGATGCATTAAATATTTCTCTCTCTCCATAGGAACAAAGCAAAGCAGCCTGGGGGCCACCTGAAGAGTCCTTGGAGAGCTGATTGCACCGGCCAGTCCCAAGACTTCCATCTGTAAAGGCTCTGAGCAATTTTTGCAGGAAAAGAAGACAAGACGTGACAAAAATCTGTTCTCGCTGCAGTGAATCACCCTGACCCCCCAGCCCTGGGGAGAAACGTGGTTTCTCCTGCAAACCTGGGCTCACCTCGGGTGCTTTGGTGCAAGGATTTAGCTGCATGCTGGACACATTTGCAGTCGGAGAGGAACCTCCATTCCTAAAAAAACAGCCCTGCAGCCCCTGGGGTTGAACAAGCCCTCTCCCAGTGACTGCTGCACGGGGAAGCAATAAGGAAAAACCTCCAGACTTTGGGTGCCAGCTCCCTTTGGGGCACCCAGCCCCGGCCCTGGGTGTAACATCACTAACAGATATTTACCTCGCACTGGGGCAAAGCGCCCCCGCCCCGAGCCCCTGTGCCCGGGAGGGCTCCCCACGGGCAGCGGGAGGGCCCGGGATCCCCTCCCCGGGCTCGGGGCGCGATGCGCGGGGCCGGGCGGGAGCGGCCGCCCCGGAGCCGCCCCGGGGCCCCCCCGCTCCGGCGGCGCACGGAGAGCGCTGGATCCGCACCGCCGGAGCCGCACCGAGCGGCCGCGGGCTCCCGTCGATCCCGGAGGAGGTGAAGGGCGCCCAGCTCCCCCCTGCATCCCCCCGCGCCGGCTCTCCCTGCACCCCCTCTCCCGGGCATCTCCCGTGCACTCTCCGTGCGCCCCTTTTTCCCTTCACCCCTTCCCTGCGCGTTCGCGGTGCGCTCCTCGCTGACCTCTCCGTCCACCCCCTTCTCCTTTGCATCCCTTCTGTGCTCCCCACCGCACTCTGCCTGCACCCCCTTTCCCCGTGCATCCCTCCTGTGCTCTCCAGCGTGCTCTCCCTGCACCCCCTTCCCCGTGAAATCCCTGCTGACCTCTCCCTGCACCCCCTTTTCCTTTGCATCCCTGCTGCACTCCTCACTGCATTCCCTGCGCCCCCTTTGCCCCTGTATCCCTTCTGCACTCCCCAGGTACTCTCTGTGCACCCCTTTTCCCGTGCAGTCCCTGATCCACCCCTCACTGACCTCTCCGTGCACCCCTTTCCCCTGCACTCCCGCAGCCTCTCTGCCTGCCCGGTGCCTTCTCCACACGTTTTCCCCCCATCCATCCCCTCTCCGTGCACTCCCGGCCATGAACAGCTCCACGGCAGGCTCCGAGGGGGACTGGCATCCCGAGTCCGTGATCATCCCCCTGGTGTACCTCGTCATCTTCCTCGTGGGCACGGTGGGCAACAGCCTGGTCCTGGCCGTGCTGCTGCGCAACGAGCAGGTGAAGAACACCACCAACCTCTTCATCCTCAACCTGGGGGTGGCCGACCTCTGCTTCATCCTCTTCTGCGTCCCCTTCCAAGCCACCATCTACACCCTGGAGGGGTGGGTGTTTGGGCCCTTCATGTGCAAGGCTGTCCACTTCTTCATCTACCTCACCATGTATGCCAGCAGTTTCACCCTGGCCACCGTCTCCCTCGACAGGTAGGAAAAAGGGAATGGGGGGGGCTCCCTGCACCCTGAGGGTCCCCTTTCTCTGGATCCCCCCTAGGCAGAGAGGAGACAGAAACCCCTGGAGTTATACCCTGATTGCTGCCATCTCCCAGGGCTCCTAGAGGAATCCAGGAGCATTTTCCAGTTGATGTGTGCAAGGAAATAAAACCACCAGGGAGGGGGTCTACCAGAGGGCTGGGACTGCGACCCCTGTCCTCAGTGCCCAGCTGGAGGAAGATTTCAGACCCCAAAGCTGTAGGACTGGGCTCTGGCAGTTGAAATGGAAAACCAGAGAAAAACAAAGCTCAGTCCCTGTGCAGTTGTGGCTCTCCCTGGGATGCATGGAGAGAGCCCTGACCCTCCCAATAGCCCCCAGCAAAGCAGACAAACCTCAAGGAGAAAAAGCCACTGGGATATTTGAGCTGAGACACTGATTTTCCCACCCTCCCCTTTCATTAGCAAAAAGCCCCTTTTTGTCCCAGTGCTGTCCCCTTGCTCCAGTGGTTGTCCCTTTTCCAAGGTAGTTTTTAGCCAGGAAGGCTGTTATTCCTGCCTGAGCTTTACCTCATGCTCACTCAGCCCCTGACTCTGCAAGGGCAGATGAGTTATGAACCTGCAGTGAGTGAGAGGCAGGGAGCTCCTGGTGCTGCTCTGCTCTGTGCCTGAAACCTGCAAGATGGGATGTGGAAAGTCCATGGGAAGAGCCATGGCAGCCCCAGAGCTGGGCTGAATGTGTCCTGCCATCCAAGCAGGTGCTGGGACAGCATCCCCAGGAGCTAAAACATGGCCAGGGGCTGCCTCTCCTTCCATGTCCCACTGAGCTGGAGGAACAGAGGTGCCAAGCTAGGGAGGTAGCACAGGCCCCCAGTTCTGGGTGTAATTAGGGAACCAGCTAATTACAGAACTGAAAAGGGGTGATGTGCTTTCATGTGTGCCAGTGTGAGGAATGCTGTGTCTGGGGATCTTGGGGACTTGCTCCTGCCTTTGTATCCACACTGCTGCTATCATTTGTGCTCTGCCAGGCAGAGTGATGATCAAGTAAGGATCTGCTGGATTAGGGAGAGGGACAGAAGGGAACCATACCCCTTGTCTCCACAAGTACTGCTGGGAGCAGAAAAGGTGACGGGACAGGGTTGGGTGAGGATCTTCCTCATTCTGTGCTGTGCATGGACTCTGCGAAGCACCAGGGAATCAGTTGTGTAACTAATTGCCCTGGAAAGCTCAAATCCATCCCTTGTGCCCTTCCTCCAATCTGCTCCCAGAGATGCTCTCTCTGTGTCCTCCTCAGGACTGCAGCTGTGTCCCTCTCCCTTTCCCACACAGGTATTTGGCCATACGATACCCCCTGCACTCGAGGGAGCTGAGGACACCCCGGAACGCCCTCATGGCCATCGGCCTCATCTGGGGGCTTTCCTTCATCTTCTCGGGCCCTTACCTCAGCTACTACCAGGAATTCCAGCTGGCCAACCTGACCGTGTGCCACCCCATCTGGGAGGTCTCCCAGCGCAAGGTCATGGACATCTGCACCTTTGTCTTCAGCTACATCATCCCGGTGCTGATCCTGAGCCTCACTTACGTGCGGACTATTCGCTACCTGTGGAAGTCCGTGGACCCTCTCCAAGACATGTCCGAGTCCAAGAAGGCCAAGCGGAAGGTCACCAGGATGATCATCATTGTGGCCGTGCTGTTCTGCCTCTGTTGGCTGCCCCACCACCTGGTCATCCTCTGCGTCTGGTTCGGGTACTTCCCCCTCAACCACTCCACGTACGTGCTCCGCATCCTGTCACACGTCATCTCCTACGCCAACTCCTGCGTCAATCCCATCGTCTATGCCCTGGTCTCCAAACACTTCCGCAAGGGCTTCAAGAAGATCTTCAGCTGCCTCCTGCACAAGAAGGCAGCCCACAGGGTGCACGTGGCCCAGGTGACCAACACCGTCAGCACGCTGGAGGCAGAGCTCAGCGAGGTGACCCAGCTCAGCGAGGCCCTGCCCGGCCGCTCCTCCGCGCGCTGCAGGGTCCCAGCCCAGCCCTGGGGGGAGGTGGAGCTGGTGGGACAGCAGCACAAAGGAGATGGCTCCTTCGTCACCTTCAGTGTCAGCTAGCAGAGCTTCTCCCCACCCCATGGCTTTGCAGGCTCCTGCAGCATGGCAGGCCTGGGGACAGGCTACATTTTGGGTTGAAATGTGGCCGGTCGGACTCTTTCCATTCAAGTGGACCCAGATGTCATAACAGTGATGATGCTGCTGATACCAACTCAGCCAAGCAGCTGACCAAGGATCCAAGGTCAGGATTTGCTTCCACCAAGCACTTGCTGATAGTAGAGATCAAGCCCCCCAAATCCACTCTGGTGTAATCACCTGTTCCTCTGCCACGGACAGACTTACGCCCTGTTGCAACTACACCTGGAGGTTGTTGAAAGCTCTGGTCCCTCCAACCAACACAGCATTTGGCTGGAGTTAGTGGGGTGCTCTTTTAGGGATATTTGGGAAGTCTTGGTTTGTTTGTGACCTGGTACAGGAGCTGCATCCTAGGACAGCTCTGGACACAGCTGTGTGGGCATAAACCCAGCTCAGGAAAATCCAGGAGAGAAGCATAGAAGGTCACCAAGGACCAGAAGGGATGGAGGCTGTTTGCTGAGGGAGCACAGCCATGGCCCTGCAGGAGGGGAACCTGAGTGGGACAGGACCACACTGGGGGAGGATTTGAATGCCTTGGACAGCTCGGGTACGGCTCAGCCTCTCATCAAAGTGAGGTGATTGTGGAGAAGAGCGAAGCAGAGCAGCAGCACTGCTTCCCTGTAGCCACAGTGTGGGACTGGACAGCCAGGGCTGTGTGAGAGCTGGGGGTCATCCCCAGCCAGTCAGGAAAGCCTTAATAAAGCCTCTTCATCTCACCTCCTGTGTTCAGCTCCCTTGAGACACCCCACAGCTGCAGGGGGGGAGAGGAGGGTGCTGGAGGGGTGGTGGGACCTGCTGGATAGAGGGAAGCTGAGGGTGGAAGGGGTGGAGGATGTGGATTATGTCCAAGCACATCCATGGAGGGGGGTCACTGTGGCACAGGAATGTCACTGTACCCTCTTCATACAGTTGTACCTGCCCATGAGAGGCTGGTGTGATTCACAACCTCCTGCTCATTGCACTGCAAAGGCTCTGTGAGAGCAGAGCCCTGTGACCACCAGCAGCTGAGGGCCTTAAATGAAAGCCCTCATTTCTGTACCACAAGAGCATCACTGGAGTAGGATCAATTAACTCTTTTGAAAACCCTGTGGCAGAGCACAGCCAGAGGTGGCAGTGAAAGTGCACAGGAGCTGGGATGAGCTGTCTGCACAGATTTCCCTCTTGTGAATCTCCAAGGCAGAACTCTCCAGGACTGGGCTGCATTGCAGGAGGCTATTTCTGTCCGGGACCCTGGTTCTCCCTGGCTGTCTGGTCAGGACACAGCCCTCCTTCACCCCTCCCCAATGCTTGGCCTTTCTTCCTGAGAAGCTTTTGGCTATAAATAATTTCTTTTCCCCTGCTGAGTGTTATTATAACCAGATCTTCCTGCCCCAATACAAAGGGCCATAAATCAGCCACTGCCTCATATCAATAACTGTGATATTTAGTCTCGGCTTGCTTGCAGCGTAAGTCACAGAGAGCAGCATATAAACAGCTCCATTAATTATATCTGGATTTATCTCCCTGCTCAACCCTTTACAGCCAGGGAAAACACTGGATCAGCTACACAAACACAGTTAAAGCCTTATCTTCCTCCTGCGCTCATCTACCTCTGCTCAGAGGGCTGCAGGATCTGGCTCTGATGGATCCCACACACACCAAGGGGTTCAATCCCCTCTCCTGGATAGTTATCAGCTCACCTTGGGGATGGAGATGTTGACCCATCACCTCTGCACTGCCCAAGGACATGGGCTGGCATGGCTGTCCCCTCTCTGCTCATGAAAGCAGAGCATCCCAGAGCAGACACTGACCCTGCTCCCCTCCTTCCCACCCCAGCCTTTCCAAGAGCCCTCCAAGCCCACAGCTGAGACCTGCCCTACCCTGCTAACTGTTCTAGAGCTGCCCAGCCACCCATGACTACTTTGAAGGCACATCCTAGGACACCTCTAACTCACCTCCCAGGGCACCAAAAGGTTTTTCTGCCACACAAAACCATGTTGGGAAGTGACTTTCCCGCACAAATAACGGAGCATATCAGGAAAAGACAAGAGTATCACGACCTGCTGCTACTCAGCACCCTCCCAGCTGAGGGAGGCAGGCTCCTGGTCTGTTCCCTTGGGAGGTCTTGTCTTAAATTAAGATCAGTGCAAGTCCCCCTGTTCCAGTTAAAATTTAATAAAAGCATATTCAATAGGGAGTGGAAAATAAATAGGCTAAAGTCAGCTCTCAAGTCCAAGAGTGCACAGGGACATGAGGGACACTTAGCTGAAACCTCAGTTAATGTGAACTTTGCAGCACATGGATTTATCACTGGAGTTAAAGAAGTTGTTTTGGTTTGTGGCTTTGTTTTGTTTTCAAACACTTACTCTGCCAAATTTGCTCCCCAGTATTAGGAGGCAGCAGGTAGGAGACACCCAGATCCTGGCACAGCCCCAGCACAGGCCTCTGTGGAGCTACAAAAATAAACAACAGAGAAATGGGGCTCCGGCCCCAAAACCTTGGAAATCAGAGAGTCTGTGGCAGGCAGAATGGGAGGTGAGAGGAGAGCATTAAACCCTGCAGGAGCCTTGGAGAAAGCAGAGAAAGAGGCAGGGGGGGTTCAGCCCCATCTGTGGCCCCTTCCCACAGTCTGAGCATCACTTGAGGCTCTGCAGTCAGCTCTTAGCAAGGATGTGAAGGGCTAAAGAGTGAGAGGGCCAGGCTGTGCTGGCTGCCATGATCACTCTTAATTAACATGTTGCAAACACATTCCTTACCATAAAAAGCCAAGGAGCACATGGAGCCATTCCCTGCACTGTGAAGTGCTGGACAAAGCCTGGAGGGGGCCAGCAGCTCTTCCCGCTCCCACCCCAAGGGAGGGGTGGCTCAGCCCAAAACGTGCTGCTGCTCCCAAAGCAGGTCTGGCTGCTGCAGGGGCTGCTCAGCGAGGCTGAGAGCCTGTCCAGCTCCCCATGTTCATTCCCTGAGCAGGGGAGAAGCAGGTGGTGAGGGAATGGTTAGAGCCAAGGGTGAGTGGGAGGCTGGATTTAAGAAACAGGGACTGGACGGCTCAGTTTTCCCTTTAACTCAGGGAAAACGAGTCTTGATTCCCACCTGGGAATAACATAGCTCTTCCTGCTACCTCCTCCAGCTCCTCCTCACTGCACAGCCTGTACAGCCACCAGCAAGCTCAGCTCTCAGTCCCCAGCTGCCTCTTACCTCCATTCCTTACCCCAGATGCAGCCAGGGCATCCCTGGGGTAGAAAACAACCCAACCAGCTACTGGTGCTGGTAATGGAGAGCCCAGAAGGGAGCAGGACATTTTGCATCCCAACTCTGACTGCATCTCCCCTCCAGCCCTGGTCTGTACAGCTTTCCTGGGGGAACAGGCTGACAGCAAAACCCAGAAATGCCTCTTTTGGCATGGGTCATGCAGAGGCATTCCCAGAGTCTCTGAAGAACAGGATGTGACCTTGTCCCAAACCCTAAAGGATTTCATGCATTTTCCACAGGCTCTGGCTGGCACAAGAGCATCAGCATAGCGAGGATTCCAGCTCCTGCACACTAAAGCTCAGGTGCTCCAGAAAATCTGCAGGCAAAGCTCCCTCTTCCCTCCCCTGGCTTTGCCTGTGACCGTTCCGGGTGAATTGTCTTGCCCTGGGATCAGGGGCAATAAAACATATTTTACAGCTCAGCCTGAATTCCACACACTCTCCTGGAGAAAGAAACTCATATCAGACTGCTGCAGTGGCAGAAACACATCCAGAAAGATGGAATCCAGGTCCTTCTGGTGAATGTCAGGGTGTGTATCCAGCAAGCTGGACACTGCACACAACACAAGCCAGCAGCACTTTGCTTATGCTTTCCAACACTGTCTGGCGCCTGCTGGCCTTTGGAGGCTCTTGGAGCTGGCAGAGGTGAAAAACAGTGAGTGCTGAGGTCTCAGGTGTCCTCAGACATTTGAGATCTGAAAGCAGGAGGGAAGGTCCCTGCAGGGAGGGCTCTGGGGTTGGCACTGTGAGCCTGCACAGTCAGACACATAGGAACGGCCAGGTGGGGTGGGTGATCAAGGCTTGGACTCACACCGTGGTCCAGCTCTGGGCTGGACAAGCCTGTCCAATCTGCTGGTTTTCAGGCATTTGTTACACCAGGTAGTGTTTCAGACCAGGTTGAGGAGGAAGAGGAGGTCAGGGGTTTAGAAAAGCCAAGAGCTCCCTGAAAAACATCTGTCTGAGGAGGCAGCAGCTGAGGCAAGAGGCTGGGTCGGCCACAGCAGAACCTGCACTAACATCCAACAGCTCTGCCACTGCTGGGCTAATCAGACACCAGCAAACACTCCAGCAAACACAGCTCAGGTAAATAATGGATTTGCTCCAAATTACAAAGCAGCAGCTATTGTGAGTGCTCCTCACTCTATGGAAACCCTGTATTTCAAGTGTTACAGACAGTGGAGCAGCAGCAGGAGAGAGGGAGGTGGGAGCAGGAGGTGCCTGGCCAGAGACCACAGATACAACAGAGGTGTTCCTCTGAAAGGCTTTGGTGCAAAGCTGTCAGAGTCCAGTTCCTGTATCAAAGCCTGCCAGGATTGCTCCAAGGCATGTGAGAGAGCACTTGCTTCACACATGATGCCCATGGGCTGAACAGAGGGAACAGGCTTGAATGCTTGCAGGGAAGAGATGCATCAGATTTAAGAAGACAGGAGACAAAGGAAAAAGAGGGATGGGAGGAAGATGCTGAGCAGAAATCTGTATGTACACTTTTGCACATGCTCTGCCTCAGGTCGAGGGGCAGCACTCAGCCAGGCCACCACGGAGCTCCCTCTGGTTTCCCACTGCTCTGTCATGATTCCAGACTGCCTTCACCCCACCTGCCACTGCCTCATGAAGGACTGAGCACTGATACAGGGGCAGCTTGCCAAATTTTGGGTAAAACACCCTGGTGCATGACTAGCCTGCACCACCATGGCCAGACACCACCACACCCCGACACCACCACACCCCAGAACTGGCATTGCAGCCCATCACTGAACTCAATAACAGTCAAGAGTAACAATGTGAAAATCCTTTGGGATCCTACAGAACTGAGATTCCAAAAACCCATCAGGGAAGCACGTGGCACCATGTGGAGCTCACAGCTTCCTGCCTCAAACAGAAGGGCTGTATCCATAAGGTTAGGAAGGTTTTTGTGTGTTTTTCTTTCTTTTTTTTTTTTTAAACACACTCTCCATGTCTGCTGCACATCAAGGCATTAACACAAACCCAGGTGAGAAGATGCCCAAATGTAAGAGCCCACATGGCAGACTTTGCCTTATCCCATGGATCCGGAGCAAAGACAGCCAGGAAGGAGTGTTTCCACAGGTTTATAAATCTGATAAATACAAGTATAACACCCTGCCCACCACAATGGAGCAGGGGAAAAGGGAAGGGAGTCCCAAGGGTTGCTGAGAGAGCACTGGCTTGTACTTGGCAGCTGGAGAGTTCACGACAGCTGGAAATTTATGCTGATGTGTCAAACAGCTTCTCGATCATCTCCCCCACCTGGTCAACCTGGTATTTGATGTACTTCTCAGGGTTCTTAGTGAAGGGCACGTTGCCATATCTGCAAAGGAAGACAACCCCCAGGTGACAAATGACTGGAACGCAGCAAAGAGACCCACTGGCCCCTCCTCTGTCACAAATCAGCTCCACTCCAACACATACCACCTGAATCTGACAGGGTATCCT